CTAGTTCTTTTTATTTATATTGTTCATTGCTACTGTTTAGGCTTTTTCACCTTTTAAAAAAATTAAGTATAGTTGGTAAACAATATTATTTTGGTTATGTTAGTTTCATGTGTACAACATAGTGATTCAACATTTTTATATCTTACCATTTTTCTAATAATTATCTGTCACCATGTAAATTTATCACAATGTTATTGACTGTAAGCCCCTTCTATTTTTCAACTATTTCCCTGCCTCCTCCCTTCTGGTAACCATCCCTTTGGTCTCTGTCTATGTGAATCTGTTTTTACTTACTTTGTTTGTTTGTTCTTAGAGTCCACATGCTATATGTGAAATTTGTACTGTCTTTCTCTGGCTGACATTTATCACTTAGTACAGTACTCTAGATCAGGTGGTCTGTGAGGTCCAAAAGATTGCGACCACTGGTTTAAGGAAACATTTGGAGCAGTAATCACCAACAGGTGGTCTGCGAACCACTGGTGGTCTGTGAGGTTCAAAAGGTTGGTGACCACTGCTCTAGATCCATCCATGTTGTTGCAAATTTTTAATGCTGTGTAATATTCTATTATGCTAGATGCCCAGTACACAAATTCATGCACAGATGGGGATCTCTAGGCCTGGCTAGAGATCAGAGCCAATCGGAGCCATCTTGCCAGTCCCTATTGGTGCCTTCCAGCCAAGAGGAGGGACAACGGGGGGAGGGATCACAGGAGTAGACTGGCTGGCCAGGGGAGGAAATGGTGGGCCAGCTGAGATAGGTTGGCTGTGGGAGTGCACTGACCCTGAGGGGGCAGCTCCTATGTTGAGTGTGTGACCCTTGGTGGTCATTGTGCATCATAGCAACTGGTTAACTGGTCATTCAGTCATAATGGTTGCTTAGACTTTTATATATATATATACTAGAGGCCCAGTGTACGAAATTCATGCACAGGGGTGGGGGGTTTCCCTCAGCCCAGCCTGCACTCTATCCAATCTGGGACCCCTAAACGGACAGTCAGACATCCCTCTCACGATCCACAACTGTAGGCTCCCAACTGCTCACCTGCCTGCCTTCTTGATTTCCCCTAAGCACTTCTGTTCCTAGCCTGATCACCCCCTAACCACTCCCCTGCCAACCTCTGCTAGCCTGTTTACCCCTAACTGCCCTCCCCTGCAGGCCTGATCATACCTAACTTCTCTCCCCTGCAGGACTGGGTCCCCTCCAACTGTCCTTCTCTACAGGCCCGGTCACCCCCAACTTCCCTCCTCTGCCAGCCTGGTCACCCTTAACTGCCCTCCCCTGCAGGTTTGATCACCCCCAACTGCACTCCCTTCAGGCCTGGTCCCTCTCAACTGCCCTCCCCTGCTAGCCTGATCACCCACAACTGCCCTCCCTTGCAGGTCTGGTCCCTCTCAACTTCCCTCCCCTGCTGGCAATCTTGTGGTGGCCATCTTGTGTTCACATGGGGGCAGGATCTTTGACCATATGGGGGCAGCCATCTTGTGTGTTGGAGTGATGGTCAATCTGCATATTACTCTTTTTTTAGCTAGGCTAGAGGCCTGGTGCATAGGTGGGGGACAGCTAAAAAAATTTAATTTTTTATTTGTCATTTTTTATTGTTTAATTACAATTTTCCCTGAAGGGTGTCCCAGATCAGGGTGTGGGGTATGGGGCGGCCTGGGCAAGGGGCCTGTGGTGGTTTGCAGACCAGCCATGCCCCCCCGGCAACCCAAGCAGAGGCCCTGGTATCTGGGATTTATTTATCTTCTACAATTGAAACTTTGTAGCCTGGAGCAGAGCCAAGCCTCCTGCTTGCTCCATGGCAGCAGCCATTTCTGTTGGGGTTTATTCATTTTCTATAATTGAAACTTTGTAGCCTTGAGTGGAGGCCTGGGCCCACCAGGGTGTGTGGAAATCTTGGCTTCTTCCATCATCTGGGAAACCCCAGCCTTTCTCCTGCTCGCTCCATGGCCATAGCCATCTTGGTTGGAGTTAATTTACATACGCAATTCTGATTGGTTGGTGGGCATGGCTGGTGGGTGTAGCAGAGTGATTATTGATTTGCATATTACTTTTTTATTAGATAGGATATATATATGTATAGGATGTAATATATGTATTAGAGTTTTGGTACATGAAATTCGTGCATGGGGGCAAGAGGGTCCCTGAGCCTGACCCACGTGCTCTCACAATTCGGGACCCCTTGGGGGATGTCCGACTGCTAGGACATGTCCAACTGCCCCCTGTGGGATTGGGCCTAAACTGGCAGTCAGACAACCCTTTCACAATCCAGAACTGCTCAATCCTAACCACTCGCCTGTCTACCTGATCACCTTTAACTGCTCACCTGCCTGCCTGATATCTCCTAATCACCTTTGCCTGCCTGATTGCCCCTAACCACTTACCTGCCTTCCTGATCATCCCTGACCGCTCACCTGCCTGCCTGATTGCCCCTAACCACTCTGCCTACCTGATCACCCCTAACTGCTCACCTGCTGCCTGGTTGCCCCTAACCACTATGATCACCCCTAATCACTCTGCCTGATTGCCCCTAATTGCTCACCTGCCTGTCTGATCACCCCTAATTGCCTTTGCCTCAAACCCTGCCATGGCAGCTTTGTCCAGAAGGATGTCCAGAATGATGTTCCGAAGGTCATTTGTCTGTCCAGTCTAATTAGCATTTTACGCTTTTATTATTATAGGTAAAGATAGAGAGATAGAGAGGTATAGAGATATACATGTAGATAGATGCACACACATAAAATTTTCTTAATCCATTCATCTTGCCTCTTGTAAATAATGCTACAGTGAACATGGGTACATATATATTTTTTTAATTACTAGTAGTGTTTTTGGTGTGTTTTTTTTTGTTTGTTTGTTTGTTTGGGGTTTTTTTGTTTTGTTTTTTTATAAATACACAGACATGGAATTGCTGGATCATAAGGCATATATATATATTTTTTTTCCTGAGGTATTTTCATACTATTTTCTATGGGACAAGTCAAGAAATTGTTTGTTTTAATTGTTTAACATTTAACATTTAATTTAATTTTTTATTTGTCATTTTTTATTGTTTAATTACAATTACCATGCAATGTTATATTAGTTTAAGGTATGCACCCTAGTGATTAGACATTATATAACTTATTAAGTGATCATCTTGATAAATCTCATAACCTTCTAACACAATACATAGGTATTTGAATATTACTTTCTATATTCCTTATACTGTACTTTACATCCCCATGACAATTCTGTAACAATGCATTTGTTTGTAATACTTCCACTTTTTTCACCCATCTCCCTAATCTCATTCTTTCTGGCAAACATCATAATGTTCTCTGTATCTGAGTGTTTCTCTTCTGCTTGTTCATTTTTTTAAATTCAATTACTGATAAAAATGTATTTTTTGCCATTTCATTGTGTTTTTCCCTCTTTTTAAAGAAGACCCTTTATCAATATGCAAATAACCACGGTCGCCTTAATGCAACAACTGAACAGCAGGGACCTGAGCAGCTGCAGGTGGTGCTCTGGTGCTCAGGGTCTGCCTCTTGAGTGTGACCTTTCTGGAGGTGATTGGGGGGATGCTTCATTGTGGTCTGAAACTGTCCACTGGATGCTCTAATCTGGGCCTCCCTGGAAGTCTAGGTCAAGATTGGCCATGCCTTTGTTCTGTCTGAGGCCATCTAGAATGAGCAACAAATTAATATTTCGGTGGTTGCTACTTGTGCTGGATTTGGAAGTGCCCATGTGAGGCCATGCTATGAACTAAGGCCAGCTACTGATAGTGCTGTACCTGGGCCACTTAGCAAGAGGTACGAGAACACTGACGTCAGATGCTGCTCATTTGAGAGATTTTAAGAAAGTCTGAAGCATGAGCCACTGGATACAACTTGCGTGTGCCCACAAGTTGGGTGGGACGTGGTCATGGGGTGTAACTGGGGCAAGGTGAACAAATGTGAGCGAGGTTAATGGGGACTCAGATATGACACCCACCTGCCTGCTTTTCGGGGGTGGGGGGATGAGCTCAACAAATAAGCAATAGCCGAAACCGGTTTGGCTTTGTGGTAGAGCGTCGGTCTGCGGACTGAAAGGTCCCGGGTTCGATTCCGGTCAAGGGCATGTACCTTGGTTGCGGGCACATCCCCCGGTAGGGGGTGTGCAAGAGGCAGCTGGTCGATGTTTCTCTCTCATCGACGTTTCTAGCTCTCTATCTCTCTCCCTTCCTCTCTGTAAAATATCAATAAAATATATATTTAAAAAAACAAAACAAAAAAAACAAAAAAAACAAATAAGCAATAGAGTATGCCAGCACTTTTGTCTGGCAGAAAGCTGCCCCTTCCCCACCACCACCACCAATTGCACCTGATGTCAGACAATTTAGTTCCTCCCTATTTGTCCTTGGTACCTCTTTCAAGCTGCTGCCCCAACTCTGGAGCTCGGAGGGAGGGAGTTTCAGTAAGTCTGTGCATGGGCCCTTTAAGAGGAACTGCCTGGGACTCCAATAGCCATCCTTCTCATACAGCCTCAAACCTAGCTGTTTTTTACAGCCAGAGTTTTGGGGAGTTTTCTTCCTGACACTGGAACCTTGGGTTGCAGGGGGTGGCTTATGTGAGTCTGGGATCCCTTATTTTTTAGGAGGAAACTCTGCAGCTGAGATCTCTCTCCTGATTTCTATTCACCACATGTGGTTGTGGGACCAGCCCATTACTGATCTCTGCCTCTCCTACAAGTCTCAATATGGCTTTTTCTTTAAGTCCCTAGTTGTAGAATTTCCATTCTACTAGATTTCAGACAGTTCTGAATGATGGTTGTCCTGTAGTTTTGTTGTAATTTTGATGCCGTCTGTATGTTTTTTAATGTTAAATACACATGTTACTCTTACTTCTGTTTCTGAAATCCAAAGATTCTGGTTCTCAGTGACACTATATAATTGCTTTACCCCACATTATAAGTGCAGTAGTCTGAAGTGTTTTTGTTTTATTTTTATTACACAAGACTAATGTGTTTATTGTTTCAGGAATCAATGATATTCAGGGATGTGGCTATAGATTTCTCTCAGGAGGAGTGGGAATGCCTGGACCTTGCTCAGAGGGACCTGTACAGAGATGTAATGCTGGAAAACTACAGCAATCTGCTATCAGTGGGTAATGTCATTTATACCAGTAATTTAGAATTCTCTTCTAGAATGTCTGTTTTCTTCCACAGTGTATTTCTTAGCTGCTTTTTGAGTTACTAGCTAAATTCTTGCTCTCTATTCCCAAATAAATGGTTGAACTGAAATGAAAAGGAAGAAAAGAAAACTGAAATTCAAATTGGCTATGGCTGAAGATTCATCTTTTTTCTTTGGCTATTCCTGTAGTAGCTTCTCTTTTTTTATCATCAAGGGACTGGATCTTACATGGATCTGATTTACCCATAGCATAACCATGATTCATGTCTTTTCTTATGAGCAGGATTTTACATACCTAAGCCTCATGTCATCTCCTTATTGGAACAAGGGAAAGAGCCCTGGATGTTTGGCAGAGAACTGACAAGAGGTCTGTGTTCAGGTAAGTAAGAAATGATTGAACAAAGCAAGGCATTATAGGTTATAACTCAGTTGATCAGTATAGAAACAGTGTCTTCAAGATATTATCTTAGGAGCTGCCATCAAAACACGAGGCCTGTGAGAAAAACTAAGTTGTTTTTTTACCTTGAGTTTACAAATGACCTGTTTCATTTCTTCCCTCACTTACTAATCTTTTTATTATTATTCTTTAATACACCACTTAATTTCAAGTAGAAGGTTTCCTTCACTTCCTCTCCAAAGAAAACTTTTACCCATATTTAAGATTCAGTTCATTCTCTTAGACTTCTCTAAATGTTTTCTGTTACCATCCCCAAAATAAAATGTGTGTGTGCACGCACATGCATGTGTATATCTGCACTACTCTTCCCCTCCAAGTAATAGTCTTCAGTATAGCTTCCAGAATTTGGGCTTCTGCCATTGTGTGAGCAAGAGGCAATCGTGTGAAAGGAGATCAGCAAAGTAGCAGGATATATGGGGTATTGGTATGCTAGGTACATATGGGAGGTAGGGTATGTTACAGAGTTCCCGAACAATCAAACAATGCAGGAGGAGAGTTTGGAGAGACTTACTTTAATTATCTCGTGATGGGCTTAGAGAAAATGAATTTAAATTCTAAGCAAGGCTATAAGCAGAACTTCCCTTTTTATTAAAGAGCCAGCCCTATGTGCACTTAGTGGTTATCTCCATGCTGGCCTTGAAAACAGTACAGTTCTATCCAATTAAAAAATGCACCTGGCATGGCATTGAGATTATGGATATATCTAGTCTCTGGCCTACAAGGTCATACAGCTAAGTTTATCTTCATCATTCTTCAAACAGGCTAAAGCAGACTAGAAAGCAACATTTTAGAATAAGAGGCCATGTAAAAGCAGAAACTTCCAAACAGCAGTTTGTTATAAAATAGGGGTTTTCCTTCTCAGGTATACCTGTAGGTGATTTGGATTTTTTTGGACTTAGGTATGGTCTTTGAATTCTGTTCTGAATGAAGTAGGTATAAAAACATTTTATTCTGAATGAGGTGATTTTAACAGAGGAGTTTTTAAAGAAATACTTGTGACTCAGAGATTGCTAATTTTATATTTCTTTGTATAAAATATAGGGAGTCAATTAACTTAGATGAGGAGAAAAATGCATCTTGCCCTAGCCAGTGTTCATTTGGTTGGAGAGTAATCTCATGACCCCAGAAGGTCATGGGATTGAATCATAGTCAGGGCACATATCTAGATGCCCCTGGTTGGGGCATGTACAGGAGGAAATCTATAAATGTCTCTCACATCAATGTTTTTCTCTTTCTCCCTCCATCTCTAAAAACATAAAAAATATTAATATTTACTAAACTCTAAGTGAAACTTAGTATTTCTTCCAATTATGGTATATTCAGCAAACCATAATAGTATTAGTTCCATGATTTTGACATGAATAAAAATCAACATATTGAATTATTATTTGTGCTCATCACTATTTTGTAACTACTGTAGTACTAGGGTTACTATTCAATCTTACTATTCAATGTGTTAATAAAGAAGAAAACTCCAGGAAGAGGGAAGAACCCCTGTGAAAGCCCTCCTAGAAGGGGAAAACTTGATGTGTTTAAAGAACTGAAAGAAAGCCAGTATTGCTTGGCCCCATAAGCAAGCGAGAGTGAAATGTGAGTAAAGTTTGGAGAGACATGTAAGAACCACATTATTCAGCCTCTGCTGGCTATGAGAAGCCATGTCCTGCGTGGCTTAGGTTTGGGATCTGGAGAAGGACCAGGGGAAAATGATGAGACAAGAAAAGAAATAATAATTTGGAAATTGGGGGCCATGCAGAGAGCCCAGGCCTTGCCAACCTTTTATTCAGTTTTGGATACACATATTGCCCTTAGCCAGGCAGGTAATTCCAGTAATAAACAGACTATCTTAAAGGTTAGTAAATTGATTTACTTTGAGACTATTTGGTCAGGAAATTGCTTGAGCCACCATTGTCTCAACTAAACAATTGGTGCATAGCTCTGGCAAATCAAGGTTTGTGAGCCTTCTGCATTCCTTGTTTACACTTTTCTGATAGTAAAGACAATGGATAGCTTCCAACACCTTATGAGAAGTATGGATTTTTGTGGTGGAAACCCAAGCCAAGTGCATTTTTGGTTCTGGAATAGATTACTGAGTGTGAAATTTGCTGGGGAAACTGGATTAGGAGGCTATTTTAGTGTTTTGTGTAAGAGATAATTCTGATTTGGAAGAGGGCATTAGTGCTGAAAATAGAAGAGGATAGTTTTAAGTTATTTTGGAGCTTAAAATTATTAAAAGGTTATATAGAGGTAGAAGTAAAAAAGATTATACTAGAGATTTTCTAATAGGTTCCATTTTGATGTCTTCAAATCATTTCATTAGCTTAAAAATTCTACTTTTTGGTAAGAAATTCTTTCATAATAATACTTGTCAAATACTTAACACTTTATTGAGAGATAATTATAAACATTTCATCACCATTCCAGTAATTATTTCTTTATCTTTACAGATAAAGAAGTGGGGATTTAGAAAGGTTAAATAATTGCCTAGGAACATATAATGAGTAAATGTCAGAGTTTTGCACTTTGTCATTTTCTTTCTGTCTGCCTTAAATTTTAGCTGCCTTTCCTCTCAGTCACTAAAGGTGGTTCATGACCACCCTCTTCTAAAATAAGCATCACAAAATTCTAAGGCAAACAATAGTTTCACTTAATCCCTAGCACATAACAGATTCTGAGTCTTCGCTATCTGCCACTCACATCAAAGTAGTTAAATCCTTAGACTTATCTCAGGTTATTCCCTCACGTGGTTTACTCTCTGTAATCTCTTTCATATTTCATCCAATATATTCTTTATTATGGAGTCTATTGTTTCTGCTCAAACTGAGTTGGCAGCAATTTAATTCTAGCACTAATTACCCAGAGTTGACATAAACCCCACAAAACCCTACATAATACTGCCTTTACTTCAGATGCCAGTTGTAAGTCTCAGGGAGTCCTCAGAACACCTATACTTCCGACCAACTGGCTATAAAGTTGGGGCTTTCCATGACCCTTACAGTTTTAAAGATTGCTAGAATAACACAGCACTAGGAAAGCTCTATACTTATAGTTGCAATTTTACTATAAAGCATACATATTAGGCCAAGGTGTGGTAGGCTTCCAGATGTAGAGGTTCCACATTCTCTTACTGTTGAGTCAAAATGTATCACCCTTTTAGCATTTCAGTGTGTTCAGGTATCAAGCTCCAGTGAGCTTTAGTGTCCAGAATTTTTTATTGTGATTTATTTATATTCACATGATTGAGTCATTAGCCAGTCAATTTCTGGTTCCTCTTATATCTCCGGAGGTTGAGAAGATGAAAATTCTAAACTTCTAATCACATGTTTGGTCTTTCTGGTGACCAATGTCTATCCTAAAGCTATCTTTGGACCTACTATGTTTGACTTCATTAGCATAACAAAAATACTTCTATAATACAAGAAATTCCAAGATTTGTTGAAGCTCTGTGGTAAGAACCAGGTGCAAAGACCAAATTTATTTTTTTTATTATATCAAGAGCCAAGAATCTTCCACTTTATGGATTTATTCCTTTCAAGAGACTAAAATGAAGGTCAGAAAATTATCCAGTTTTTATAATATATGTATATACATACACACATGCTTATACAGATGTATATGGAACTAGTCATTTTTTCATATGCTTAAGCATTGTATATTTACCAATCTTTATAGATGATTCTGATTCATATGATTATTTGAGAAGGATTGTAGTTTTCTATGTCCATAATCTCTTCTTCCCACTTTCTGCATTATACAGTCATGTACACTTAACAACACGGATTCGTTCTGAAAGAGGTATTGTTAGATGATTTCATCACTGTGTGACATCATAGAATGTACTTACACAAACCTAGATGACATAGCTTACTACTATCATTGTGTGTACTATACTTTTATACAGCTGGAAGTGCACTAGGTTTGTTTATACCAGCTTTACCACAAACATGAGTAATATATTATAGCACAACCTTAGAACATCTAGGATGTAACTAGGAATAGGAATTTTTCAGTTCCATTATGTATTTACTAGAGGCCTGGTGCATGAAATTTTTGCACTCCCTAAGCTTGGCCTGCACTTTCTCTCAGTCCACGAGCCCTCAGAGGATGTCCAACTGATGGCTTAGGCCCATGGGAAGCAAGTCTAGGCCAGCAGTTGAACATCTGTAGCACTGCCCTGTAGGAGCGCACTGACCACTAGGGGGCAGCTCTTATATTGAGCATCTGCCCCTTGTGGTCAGTGTGTGTCATAGCGACTGGTCATTCTGCCATTTGGTCAATTTGCATATTACCCTTTTATTATATAGGATGGGACCACAATTCAGATGTGGTCCAAATTTGACTAAAATGTCATAGGGTATGTGGATGGCTATATCTCAGTACTTTCTATACATTTCTAGTCCATTTTTCAGATTAAACAAATATACTTGAGAGCTATATGCCTTTTACTACCAGATAAATTTTTACTATCAGTTAAATTTTTCAATTTCTATTATAAAAATTTAACTTTTCACAAATGGGACAGAAGTAATATTTGCAATTTTATTTCTTTCAGATCTGGAGTCAATGTGTGAAACCAAGTTATTATCTTTAAAGAAGGAAATTTATGAAATAGAATCATGCCAGAGGGAGATGATGGGACTTACAAAGTATAGCCTTGAGTATTCTCATTATAGAGATATTTTGGAATATGGCAGTCACCTTGAAAGACAACTGGGATATCAGAATGGTCATTTCAGCCAAGAAATATTTACTAATGGATATATGCCCACATATATTCAACAGACATTCTTTACTCTGCATCAAATAATTAATTCTGAAGAGAAACCTTATGAATGCAAGAAATGTGGAAAAGTCTTTAATCAGAATGCACAATTTATTCAACATCAAAGAATTCATAATGGTGAAAAATCTTATGAATGTAAGGAGTGTGGGAAATTCTTTAGCTGTGGCTCACATGTTACTCGACATCTGAAAATTCATACTGGTGAAAAACCCTTTGAATGTAATGAATGTGGAAAGGCCTTCAGTTGTAGCTCATACCTTTCTCAGCATCAGAGAATTCATACTGGTAAGAAACCCTATGAATGTAAGGAATGTGGGAAAGCCTTTAGTTATTGCTCAAATCTTAATGACCATCAGCGAATTCACACTGGTGAAAAACCCTATGAATGTAAAGTATGTAGGAAAGCCTTTACTAAGAGCTCACAACTTTTTCAACATGCAAGAATTCATACAGGTGAGAAACCCTATGAATGTAAGGAATGTGGCAAAGCTTTTACTCAGAGCTCAAAGCTTGTTCAGCATCAGAGAATTCATACTGGTGAAAAACCCTATGAGTGTAAGGAATGTGGCAAAGCCTTCAGTAGTGGCTCAGCACTTACTAATCATCAGAGAATTCACACTGGGGAAAAACCCTATGATTGTAAGGAATGTGGCAAGGCTTTTACTCAGAGCTCACAACTTCGACAACATCAGAGAATTCATGCTGGTGAGAAACCTTTTGAATGCCTTGAATGTGGGAAAGCCTTTACTCAAAACTCACAACTTTTTCAACATCAGAGAATTCATACAGATGAAAAACCATATGAATGTAATGAATGTGGAAAGGCTTTTAATAAATGCTCAAACCTTACTCGACATCTGAGAATTCATACTGGTGAAAAGCCCTATAACTAGGGAATATGGGAAGGCATTTAATAGTGGGTCAGATCTCATTTGTCATCAGGGAATTCATACTGATGAATAATAAAAGTTAAAGCTCTATCTAATATTTTAAACAAAAAATAATGTTAGAGAGTTACCATTTTTCACTGTTTTCATTAGTGTAAATGCTAATTTTCATAATTACCATATATATATATATATATATATATATATATATATATATATATGTATGTATATATATATGCCTATATTGGCATTTACCCATGCTTCCCCAATATTGTACTAATGGTAGATGTTCAGTAATTCTTTTCTTTTTCATTATTTTGTCCTACCTTCTTGGTGTTAATATTATTCTTTATATTTGCTTGTGTTTTGGAGCTATTTTTTCTGTTCTGATTTATACCTTTGTGCTTAAATTATGTTATCTTGTATTTTTAATTCCTATAAAAATTTAACTTGATTTTTGAAATCAGTGTTAATATTTTTTTTCTCACAAATTTATATTTTCTTATAAAACAGAAAACCTAAAAGCAAATATTAATTTTAATCAGAGTAACTGTAGATGACTACTCTCAAGTTGGTAGAGTATATCCTACCATACTTTGTCTTTAAAGAAAGTGTAGTCATGGTATGCGTATTGTATCTTTACGTTCTCTTAACATGACAAAAAAATATTGCCATTTCAGCAAATGTAGATTTTTATTTTTAATGACTTATACTGAATGACCTTTTTAAATGGCCTTATTATTCATGTTATGGTTGCATCTAAATGTTCACATGCCCTGAGTAGCATGACCCAAAATTTATCTTTGGATTTGTGTTTTTCTTTTAAAACATGTATTTTAATTGCTGAAATTATCCACATCTTTTCCTTATAAACTTTTATGTTCCTTTTCATTAACCCTAATCCCAAACTCATACTAGAATGTTTTTAACAACTATTATAAAAATGTTGTCAATCCTTTCAGATTTTTTTTTTACATTTTATTGATAGGTTTTAGTGGTATTTCATATGTTTTATTTCATGTATATTAAATATAATTATGGTATATCTTTGGTTTGTTATGAGGATTTAATCAATGAATAAATTTAAAGTATTAGAATGATATCACTACTAAGTGCTTAGTAAAAGTAGTCCATTTTTATCATTGATATGCTAATTTTTATAATTACCTTATTTGTTTATTTATTTATTTTTCATATTAAAGGAAGGTTTATTCCCCAGTAATGAGCAGGACTCATTACGGAGGTAGAGAAATCAGAATTAAAGGAGGGTGGAAGATCAGAAAGGACCCAACTGGGCTGACTCCACAGACGGAGATGGAGAGCAGCAGCACGTGGAGGGGTGGGGAAGCCTTTTGAGGGGAGGAACAGGAAAGGGTTGGACCCAGGGCACTTCAGCACATGCTGATTGGTGGTTCAATGTCTTGCGGATGTCTTGGTGGCAGATGCCAGTAATGTCATAATTCTGCCCATCATTTTGGAGGAGGAGGATCTCACATTCCAGACTCTTTGATAAAAATTGAGAGTCTGGGCAGGGTCAGGGGCTGGAGGTTTATCTTCCATAGGGGGGTCTACCTGGAGTCTCAAGGATTCTGATGCTAGGTTCTCTCCCACCTTCTGGTTGGTGAATGCCTGCATTCTGTTCTGCAAAAGACTAGTGACATAGTGCATGAGAAAGGGGGTAAAGGAAACTTAGAGAAATAGACACCAGTTGGCCTAATGACAGGAGGGTGGACAAGGAATGCAGCAGCCTAATTTCACAAAGGGACTGTTTGGTGAAGTTCTTGAGAGCAATTCCGTTGAGTCACTTGGGAGGTAAAGACTGGTCCTGAGGCTGTCATAGCATCACTTGTCTGGTATTGTTGCTTTTCTACGCCTGGAGCTGAAATACAACCTGGGAGATAAGATTCTTGAGAAGGTAAAAAGATGGGGCTCCTTGGTGTAGCCCGGATTCCAGTCAGGCCCATGAGCAGAAGGTCTGGCCAGAAGCTGCAAATTTCTAGAGAGAGTTTAATTAGATGGTCTTTAAGAAAGCCATTGCTCCTCTGGATCTTACCCAATGAATGTGGGTGGTAGGGTATGTGCAGTTTCCAGGAGATACCAGAGATTATGTGTGTTATCAAGGTTTCAGCCACAACCTCAGCAGTTTCCTTGCAGGTAGGGAAGGCCTCTGTCTACCCTGTCAGGGTGTCTACCATGGTAAGCAGATATTTGGTCTTCTTGTGGGGGGCTTATGGGTGAAGTCTACCTGCCAGTTCTGCCCTGAGAGGTGTCCCCTCATTTGATGAGTAGGAAGGTTGGGGTGCATTCCTCCCTGGGGTGAAGCAGCTGCACACGTGGAACAGGAGGAACAGGCACTCGTGACTGCCTCTCGCAGTGTATGCAGGGTGAAGAGGGATGAAGGTTATCTCCAGGGCCTGCTTGAGTGTTACTATCATGTTGGAGGCTTTCCAACGTCTCTTGGGGTCTAGACACAAGCTTCCATCCACAAACAGAATTAAGTCAGGATTAGAGAAAGGAAGATCTGAGAGTCCCACCCGAGGTTGAGTGAGGGCCTCTGACAATCTAGGGACAGGAGTGCATTGCCACAGGTTGGGTGGAGGCACTGGGAAGGGATGGCTGGGTTCAGCCCTGGAGACTGAGGGAGATGTCAGAACTCTTAAGGAACAGGAGATGGAGTTCCTGCATGGGAGAGGGGGCAAGGAGAGATCAGGATCGGTGTGACGAAAGATCCTGTAGTCTATGAGTGGAGAAGACCTGTAAGGGTTGCTGGAGGCAGATCTTCTGGGCCTCCTTGATGAGAACATCAGCTGCAGCCAGAGCCCAGAGGCAGGGCTGCAGTCCCCAAACTGTGAGATCAAGCTGTCTGGACAGGTAAGCTAAAGGGGTGAAGGCTGGCCCTAGGGACTGGGTGAGGACCCCTGTGGCTATTCCATCTTTCAAGAGTAAATAGTTGGAAAGGCTTAGAGATGTCTGGGAGAAGAGAGGAGAGAGAGAGACCAGAAGGGTGTCCTGGAGTTAGAAAAAGCTTGGCAGGTGAGGAGACCTGGTATAAGAGCTTAGCTAGGAGAGAAAAATTTGGGACCCAATGATGGAAAAATCCCACCAATGGAGGCCAGCTATATGCCTCTGAGATGTATAGTGGTGGGTTCTAATAAGCATTGTTAGAGGTCTCTGGGTAAGACCTGGCCAAACAGATGAGCACTGTTTCTGAACCCTTGAGGCAGGATTATCCAGGTGAGTGGGTCTTTTAAAAATTCTTATCAACAGTTAACTGTAGAACTTCATTTCTTCTTTTCTTCTATCATTGTATGCTATTGAAAATATTTAGAAAAGGCAGGGGGAGGAGGGAACAGGCCTGTAACTGCTTGAGTTCAAAATTGAGTTTCTGATAAGCCTGTGTCAGCGAGAAAGTTGTTCTCTAGGGAGTGTGGAGAGGGGAAGAGAATGGGGTGAGAAGGCACTGAGGCCAGAGCATTTTTGCAGTCAATAACCATGACCAAGATTGTGGAAGGAATAATGGCCTGGAAAAGGAGGGCAAGGTAGAGGTAGCCCACTCCAAATCCACCAGGAAGGAGATCTTCTTACCTGCTACCTCGACCTTGACTGGGGGCTTGACGAGGGTGATGGGGGTCGTCAAGTCTGGGCATCTTCAGTCTTCAGTCAGTTCCATCATGGCCAGCAGTGGTCATGACCTAGAAGGATAGTCCCTCTGCGCTGAGAGGCAGAGGGCCCGTCACTTTTCCAGGGGCAGTTTGTTTGTTTGTTTGTTTGTTTTGTGTGGGGTTTTTTTTTACCCAAAGTATTTTATTTTATTTTTATTTTTAAATAAATCTTTATTGCTCAGATTATTACAATTGTTTCTCCTCTTTCCCCCCCATAGCTCCCTTCCACCTGGTTCCCACCCCACCCTCTGCCCTTACCTCCCTCCCCACCCCGCCCCCTGCCATTGTCCTCATCCATAGGTTATACGATTTTAATCCAGTCCCTTTTTCACCCCCACACCCCTTTCCTTCCAGGGGCAGTTTTGACCGCACACTCTTGGTTGGAGCCCTGGGTTGAGGGCACTGTGGCCTTCGTTTCCACACTTGAGGCATCCTCCAGGTGGCACTCGTCCTTTCGTTGCACCCCCACTATGCACAGTCCCCCTTGGACCATGCATGGTTGCCATCGGCCTCAAAGGTAGCAAGGGTTGGGTTTGCAGACTCACCTCCTGTCGAAGATGGGTTTCCTCTGCCTACTCCTCACGGGCATTAAAACCTTAAATGCCATTTACGGATTTCGGACCTGGGTCTGAGAATATGTCAGGGAAGGGAGCTGGCGCAGCAGGAGGCAAGCCATAGGCCGGAGGAGGAGGAGGAAGAGAGGTGGTGGTGAGGTGGCCACACCAGCCCAGGCCTACAGAGGCAGGATTTACTCGTTCATAATGCAGTCATCTACTGGAGACCACGTGGTTACAGAGGGGCGGGGCTTGTCACACCAAGATGGCAGCGACCCTATGGGACCCAGAGGAGAGGGTTGGGACTCGCCATGCTAAGATGACGACAGCCACATGGCGGCAGGCTGCACACAATACACAAGTGAAGAGCAACCAAAAAGAGAAATCACATTTAGCTGTTTGGAGAGGCTGGTGGGATGGCGGATAGGTGGCTCTAGCGATGTGCAGTGACCAGAGACGGCAATGGTGGCCTCTGCAGCAGTGAGAGCTGTGGGGAAGAAAGGTAGCAGAAAGCTCGCAGTGGCCATGGTGTGGCGAAGAAGGAGGAAGAGAGGGAGCAGAAAGCGGCATGGTGGTGGCAACAGCAGTGACAGCCAGGAAAGCAGCAGCAGCTGGGGGGGGGGGGGGGGGGGGGACTGTGGCAAAGGAGGAAGAAGAGAGCCAAAAGCAGTTGGCAGGAGCAAGAGGGGTGGAAATAAAAGAGTAGTTCGGTCCAAAGAGTCAGAAAGAACAGAAGGAGCAGAGAGAAGGAGGTGAGAGCCTGGCCATTTGGAGCCCTGGGCTACTTCCTGGCTTGCTGGCAGAAATTACTGAGGTTGGTGCGAATGTTTAAGTCCCATTTTAGGGTCATCAGGACCCACTGAGGCCATCAGTTTTTGTATACCCATTTTGAAACCTAGAGTCAGTAGCAGAAGCCCGAGGACCAGTGTCCCAATCATTGAGCCCAGACTATGGACACGGGACCCGAGAGGCAACAGGGGACATCTCCCCCACCTCCTGGGTCCAGAGTGAGGCCAAAAGGCCAGAGAACCAAGGGGCATAGGAATGTCTTCACTACCTCCTGAGGCTCGGAACCTCTCTGGGAGGTCCAGAGGGCTATGCCTGGAGGCAATCTCTGACACGGGCCACGGTTTATGGACAGAGACGCTGGAAGAATGATCACTAGGAATTAATAGGGACTGGAACTCACCGCATATGTTGCCAAGCTGGGGAGGAGTCTGCGTTTCCTGAGCCACAAAAAAGAAGAATGAGGGGCACCCCAGACCATGAAAGGTCAAACAAAATGTACATCTCCACCCAGGTTTCACACCATAATGTAAGGTTTGAAGCCCAGGAAACAAGTCGGAGACGTATTAACAGAAGGTTTATTCCCCAGTAATGAGCGGGACTCATTACGAAGGTAGAGAAATCAGAATTAAAGGAATGGGGAAGAGGAGAAAGGACACAACTGGGCTGACTTCACAGATGGAAATGGAGAGCAGCCTACCTTATTATTTATGAGAAGGATTTAAACCATGTTGTTTACCTTTGTATAAATCAAAGAATGTGTAATGAAAAAGAAATAAGTGTAATGTACATAAGAAAGCTTTTTTCATCATTCATTATTCAGCCTGGGTTCTTAAAAGGAACAGGAAACCTGTGTGAACAGTTTCAATTCAGACTTCATTTTTATGCTGCACAAAGATAAATACTAGTCTTAAACCTGTGGATATAATGATTGGTAGGTGAAAGCACATGTGTTAAAAGTAGGAAATGATTTAAATATTTTCCCTAGTAATTAGTTCTTCCAAAGTAGAAAATATATAGGCCAAATTGTCTCCCCCTTGATCAACATGGGTTAACCATTTATACATCATATGCATCCATAGATGCAAGCGGTGGACCTTTTCTAATTAAATTAAAAACACCGTGGCAGTTAACTGGTTAAGAA